CATCCAATACACTGTACTTGCTGGGAAAAGTCTTGAGTGCAATTTGCACTGTGCATTTAAATGGACGCCCAATAGTGACATTTCTTACCAGAAAAGAATGAATGCTCATAGGACAAGAAACTGCATGTGATTCAACTCTGTTTATGAAGAGATACTGAACACAAGCTTGCCTTACAATGAACACACTCTGCTTTGGAGAAAGGGGCAATCTACTATGTTTTCTATACAGGCAGAACAGTGAGCTTGCTCAGAACAAATGAAATGAGCTTTCTACACCTACAGGCCATGTCTAGTTCAACTCTTCTTAGGAAACTGACTAGAAGAGTAGCTTCTCTTCAGTCCAATACACTGTACTTGCTGGGAACAGACACAAGTGCTATTTGCACAGTATATGGCAATGGGAGTCCAATATTGACTTTCCTTACCAGAATAGAATGGATGCTCATAGGACAAGAAATAGCATGTGATTCAACTCTGTTTATGAAGGGATACTCAACACAAGCCTGCCTTACAATGAACACACTCTGCTTTGGAGAAAGGAGCAATCTTCTACTCTACTGTGTTTCCTAAACAGGCAGAACAGTGAGCTTGCTCAGAACAAATGAAATGAGCTTCCTACATCTACAGGCCATGTCTAGTTCAACTCTGCTTAGGAAACTGACTAGAACAGTAGCTTCTCTTTAGTCCAATACACTGTACTTGCTGGGAACAGATGTGAGTGCTATTTGCACTGTGTATGGCAATGGGAGTCCAATAGTGACTTTCCTTACCAGAAAAGAACTGTTGCTTGTAGGACAAGAAACTTCATGTGATTCAATTCGTTTATGAAGTGGAATTCAACACAAGCTTGTCTTACAAGGAACACACTCTGCTTTTGCGAAAGGAGCACACTTCTACCCTTCTGTGTTTGCTATACATCCAAAGCTGTGAGCTTGCTCAGAACAAAAGAACTGTGCTTCCTACACACATGGGCCATATCTAGTTCAACTCTGCTTAGAAAACATACAAGAACACTACACTGTACTTGCTGGGACCAGATGCGAGTGATATATGAGCTGTGTATGCCAATGGGTTCCCAAAAGTGATTTTCTTCCAGAAAGAACTGTTGCTTGTAGTACATGAAGCTGCATGTGATTCAAATGCATTTATGAAAGGAATTCCACACTAGCTTGCCTAACAAGAAACACACTCTGCTTTTTTGAGAGGAGCCCTCTTCTATTCTACTGTGTTTCCTGTACAGCCAGTTCTGTGAAGTTGCTCAGAACAAAAGAACTGTGCTTTCTATACACATGGGCCATATCTAGTTCAACTCTACTTAGGAAACTGAAAAGAATATTCCCTTCTTTTTTGTCCAATACACTGTATATGCATGGATCAGATGCGAAGGATTTTTGCACTCTGTATGTCAATGGGCACCCAATGGGGACTTTCTTTGCAAGCAAATAACTGTTGCTTGTATGACCAGAAAGTGCATGTGATTCAACTTTGTAGCTAGAGTTTTCCTGCCTTGCCCACAGTCAGGACAAATCTCTATCACCCGCCAGTTCCACAGCTGCTCAGGCCCGACCAAGTAAACACTGAGACTTATATTGCTTACAAACTGTATGGCTGTTGCAGGCTTCTTGCTAACTGTTCTTATAGCTTAAATTAATCCATTTCCATAAATCCATACCTTGCCATGTGGCTGGTGGCTCACTGGTGTCTTCATATGCTTCTTGTCATGGCAGCTGTCAGTGTCTCAATCTGCCTTCCTGTTCTTTCTTTTCTCCTCTCTCTTAGTTCTGCCTATACTTCCTGTCTAGTCACTGGCCAATCAGTATTTTATTTATTGACCAATCAGAGGAACAGATTTGACAGACAGACCATCCCATAGCACTTCCCCTTTTCTTTTTTTAAAAAGATGGTTTTAACTTTTACACATCTCCAAAGCCAGTTTGGTATATTTGGGAATTTGGGCATACCTTCTCAATAATTTCTGTGGGAGAAGGGTGCTGTATCTTATGGGGATACAAAGAAAATTTTAGGATCATGGAGTAGTCTGTGAGGCTGTATTGTCTGAGCCAGTTGCCTTGAAATGATTCTGGATGTTAGATCATCTGGGCCATGGTATCATCAGAGACCTTTCAGGGGGTCTCAGCTGGTCAAACCTGATGTATCTTAATCTGGAACAAATCCATAGCCTCTGGCTTTCTGTAGAAACAAAACCAGAGCCTCCTTTCCAAAGCAACATAACCTTACATCCAAGTTTTGAAGTCAATGTACTTTTAAAATATACATGTTGGCATATCTTAACAGCTTTTGCAATCAAATGTTTTTCTTCAGTTACAAATATCAAAGACAACATAATCCAAATTCTCTTTGTGGTAGCCATCTTTACCTGGCTTATTTTTTATATTACATTGGGCCTATTGCTTTAAACTGCAGCCTTCTAAGCCTGAAACAGCACTGATTGGTGTCTCTACCCACTTCAGCTTCCCAACATGGTGATGGTACATTTTCTGCCAGGTCTGGGAGCCATCAACTCTCAGAAATAGTGGGTCTGTGCTTTTATCCAAGCAGCGTGTAGTCCAGAAACCTTTTTTTGTTTTGTACTAGCAAAGGCTAAATCCACCATGCAGCCTATTGTGTCACTTGCAGAGGCCTCATTCTCAGAGGCCTCATTCCTGCCAAACTGCAGCTCAAGTACACACGCTAGGAATGCATCAGTAGCTCAAACTGGTAAGCTGGCACTCATTTGAGAGAAATAATTAGGAAGTTGTTTTTAGCTCTGTTTTAGAATCTTTTCTCAGGTTTTAGGTAGAAACGTGTGCCCCACATTGGGCGCCATTTGTAGCTAGAGTTTTCCTGCCTTTCCCACAGTCAGGACAAATCTCTATCACCTGCCAGTCCAACAGCTGCTCAGAACCGACCAAGTAAACACAGAGACTTACATTGCATACAAACTGTATGGCTGTGGCAGACTTCTTGCTAATTGTTCTTATAGCTTAAATTAATCCATTTCCATAAATCTCTACCTTGCCATATGGCTGGTGGCTCACCGGTGTCTTCACATTCTTCTTGTCATGGCGGCAGCAGTCAGTGTCTCCATCCACCTTCCTGTTTTTTCTTTTCTCCTCTCCGTTAGTCCCACCTATACTTCCTGCCTAGCCACTGGCCAATCAGTGTTTTATTTACTGACCATCAGAGCAACAGATTTGACATACAGACCATTGCACAGCACAACTCATTTTATAAAGGAGAATTCAACACTATGCCTCACAAGAAACACATTCTTCTTTTGAGAAAGGAGCACTCTTCTACTCTACTGTGTTTTCCATGCTGCCAGAACAGTGAGTTTGCTTGGAACAAAAGAACTGTGCTGCCTACAGACACGGGTCATATCTAGTTCAACTATGCTTAGTAAGCTGACTAGAGCAGTAGCTTCTTTTCCATCCAATACACTGTACATGCTGGGAACAGATGCGAGCGCTATTTGCACTGGGTATGTGAGTGGGAGCCCAATAGTTACTTTCCTTAACAGAAAAGAACTGTTGCTCATAGGACAAGAAACTGGATGGGATTCAACTCCAATTAAGAAGGGGAATTCAACACTAGATTACCTTACAAGGAAGAAACTCTGTTTTTGAGATACGATCACTCTGTACTCTACTGTGTTTCCTATACAGCCAGAACAGATGCTTGCCCAGAACACAAGAGCTGTGCTTCCTACACTCACAGGCCATACCTAGATCAACTCTGCTTAGGAAACTGACAAGAACAGTAACCTCTCTCCAACCCAATACACTGTACTTGCTGGGAACAGACGTGAGTGCTATTTGCATTGTGTATGGCAATGGGCGCTCAATAGAGACTTTCCTACCAGAAAAAAACTGTTGTTCTTAGTACAAAAAACTGGATGTGATTCAATTCTGTTTATGAAGGGGAATTCAACACTAGCTTGCCTTACAAAGAACAAACTGATTTTGAGAAATGATAATTCTGACTCTATTGTGTTTCTTATACTGCCAAACAGTGAGCTTGTTCAGAACAAAAGAACTGTGCTTCCTACACACATGGATAATATCTAGTTCAACTCTGCTTAGGAAACTGACTAGAACAGTAGCTTCTCTTCCATCTAATACACTGTATTTGCTGGGAACTGACGCGATTGCTATTTGCACTGTGTATGTCAATGGGCGCTCAATAGTGACTTTCCTAGCAGAAAAGAACTGTTGCTCTTAGGACAAAGTACTGCATGTGATTCAACTATGTTTATGAAAGGGAATTCAACACAAGCTTGTCATACAAGTAACACACTCTGCTTTTGAGAAACGATCATTCTGTACTATACTGTGTTTCCTATGCAGCCAGAACAGTGAGCTTGCTCAGAACAAAAGAACTGTGTTTCCTACACCCACGGGCCATATCTAGTTCACCTCTGCTTAGGAAACTGAAAAGAAGAGGAGCTTCTTTTCTATTCAATACACTGTACTTGCTGGGAACAGATGCGAGTGCTTTTTGCACTGTCTATGTCAATGGATGCCCAATAGAGACTTTCCTTACCGGAAAAGAACTGTTGCTTTTATGAGAAAGGAGAGCATGTGATTCAAATTCACTTATGAAGGGGAATTCAACTATTCCTTACAAGGTACACACTCTGCTTTTGAGAAAGGAGCAGACTTCTACACTACTGTGTTTCTAACACAGCCCAAACTGTTTTCTTGCTCAGAACAAAGAACTGTGGTTCCTACACACAGGGGCCATATCTAGTTCAATTCTACTGCAAATCAGACAAGAACAATCAATTCATTTCCGACCAATATACTGTACTTGCCGGGAACAGATGTAAGTGCTATTTGCACTGTGTAAGTCAAGGAGACTCCAATGGTGACTTTTCTTACCAGAAAAGAACTGTGGCTCTTGGCCACAAAACTGTGATTCAACTCCGTTTATCATGGGGGATTGAATACTAGCTTGTCTTACAAGAAGCACATTCTGCTTTTGGATAGGAGCACTCTTCTACTCTACTAGGTTTCCAAGACCGCCAAAACAATAAGCTTGCTCAAAGAAAAGAACTGTGCTTCCTACACACCAAGGCCATATCTAGTTCAAATCTGCTTAGGAAACAGACTAGAACAGTAGCTTCATTTCCATCCAATTCACTGTACTTGTTGGTAACAGACACAAGTGGTATTTGTACTGTGTATGACAATGGGAGCAAAATAGTGACTCCCTTACCAGAAAAGAACTGTTGCAACAGGACAAGAAACTGCATGTGATTTGACTCCATTTATGAAGGGGAATTCAACCCTAGCTTGCTTTTCAAGAAACACACTCTACTTTGGGTAAGGATCCCTCATCTACTCTACTGTTTTTCCTATACAAACAGATCAGAGAGCTGGCTTAAAACAAAAGAACTGTGCTTCTGACACACTTCCATATCTCGTTCAACTCTGCTTAGGAACCTGACAAGAACTGTAACTTCTTTTTTGTGAAATACACAGTACTTGCTGGGAACAGATGCGAGTGCTATTTGCAATTTTAAGTCAATGAGACTCCATTTATGACTTTCCTTACCAGAAAAGAACTGTTGCTCAAGGACAACAAACTGCTTGTGATGAAATTCTGTTTATAAAGGGCAATTCAACACGAGCTTGCCTTGCAAGAAACACACTCTGCTTTTGAGAAAGCTGCACTCTCAACTCTACTGTGTTTCCTATACTGCCAGAACAGTGAGCTTGCTCAGAACTAAAGAACTGTGCATCCTACACAAAGGGTCCATATCTTTTTCAACTCTTCTTAGGAAAGTGACAAGAACAGTGGCTGCACTTCTGTCCAATACACTGTATTTGCTAGGAACAGACTGGAGTGCTATTTATACTGTGTATCTCAAAGGGAACCAAATAGTGATTTTCTACTCTAAAGAAACCTTTGCTCTAGGACAAAAAAAACTGCATGTGATTCAACTCCATTTATAAAGGGAAATTCAACACAAGCTTGCCTTACAAAGAACACACTCTGCTTTTGAGTAAGGAGACATCTTCTACACTACTGTGATTGCTATAGCACCAGAACAGTGAAATATCTCAGAACGCACGGGCCATATTTAGGTCAAATCTGCTTAGAAAACTGACCAGAACAGTATCTTCACTTCTGTCAAATACACTATACTTGCTGAGAACTTAGGCTGAGTGCTATTTGCACTTTGTATGTCAATGGGAGCGCAATAGATTCATTCTTTACCAGAAAAGAACAGTTGCTAGTAGGACAAGAAAGTGCATGTGATTCAACTCCATTTATGAAGGGGAATTCAACACAAGCTTGCCTTACAAGGAACAAACTCTGCTTTTGAGAAAGGATCATTCTGTACTCTAATATGTTTCCTTTACAGGCAGAACAGTGAGCTTCCTCAGAACAAACAAACTGCTTCCTAAACACATGGACCATATCTCTTTCAAGTCTGCTTAGGAAACTGAGCACAGCAGTAGCATCTCTTCCCTCCAATGCACTGGACCTCTTTGGATCGTATAGGAGTGCAATTTCTGCTGTGTATCTCAATGGGAATCAAATTTGACTTTCCTTACAAAAAAGAACTGTTGCTCATAGTGTAAGAGCCTGCATGGGATTCAACTCTGTTTACTGAGGAGAATTCAACTCTGGTTTGCTTAACGAGAAACAGAATCTGGTTTTAAGAAAAAAGCACTCTTCTACTCCTCTGTGATTCCTATAAGGCCAGAACTGTGAGCATGCTAAGAACAAAATAAGTGTGCTTTTTCACACAGTGGCCATATCTAATTCACCTCTTCTTAGGAAACTGTGCACAAACATAGCCTCTCTTCCATCCAATGCACTCTTCTAGCTGAGAAGAAACAGGAGTCCCATTTCCACTATGTGTCTGAAACAAAACCCATTATGGATTTTCCTTACCCAAAAAGATTTGTCGCTCACAGTATAAGAGACTGTATGTGATTCAACTCCATGTATGAAGGGGAATTTAAACCTGGGTTGCCTAATGAGAAACACAGCCTGCTTTTGCAAAAAGAGCACTCCTCTACTCTACAGTGTTTCCTGTATAGCCAGAACAATGAACTTGCTCACAACAAAAGAACTGTGCTTCCTACACACACAGTCCATAACTAGTTCAACTCTGCTTCAGAAACGGAGGACAGCAGTGACTTCTCTTATGTCCAATGTACTGTACTTGCTTAGAAGAGATGCTAGAGCTATTTGCACTGTGTATGGCAAAGGGAGCATAATAGTAACTTTCCTTACCAAGAAGAATTGTTGCTGCTAGAATGAGAAACTGCATGTGATTCAACCACGTTTGGAAAGGGGAATTTAACCTTAGCATGCCTTACAAGAAAAACACTCTGCTTTTGAGAAAGGGGCACTCTTGTACTCTACTGTGTTTCCTATAGGGCCAGAACAGTGAGCTGGCTCAGAACAAAAGAACTGTGTTTCCTACACACACGGGACATATCTAGTTAAACTGCTGAGGAATCTGACTAGAACAGTAGGTTCTCTTCTGACCAATACACTCTACATGCTAGGAACATATGCGAGAGCTATTTGCACTGTTTATAACAAGGGGAGCACAATAGTGACTCACCTTACCAGGCTGTTTCTAGTTTAACTCTGCTTAGGAAACTGACTAGAACACTAGCTTCACATTCGTCCAATACACTACTTGCTGGGAACAGACGTGAGTGCTATTTGCACTTGGAATTGTGGTGGGAGCAAAATAATGATTCTCCTTACAAGAAAAGAATTCTTGCACGAAAAAGAAGGAACTTCATGTGATTAAACTCTTTGTAGGAAGGGGATTGCCTTAAAAGAAACACTCTGCTTTTGAGAAATCGGCACTCTTCTACTTTACTGTGTGTCTGAAAGGACCAGAACAATGAGATGCTCAGAAAAGTAGAACAGTGCTTCCTAAAAATAGGACATATCTAGTTCATCTCTGTATAGGACAATGACTAGAACAGTAGCTTTTTTTCTAACCAATACACTCTACATGCTGGAAACAGACATAAGTGCTATGTGCACTAAGTATGGCAATGGAAGCTCAATAGTGACTCTCCTTAAAGGAAAAATACTGTTGCTCATAGAAAAAGAAACTGCATGTAAATCAACTCCTTTTAGGAAGGGGAATTGAACACTAGCTTGCCATATAATAAACACACTCTCCTTTTGAGAAAGGAGAACTCTTCTACTCTACTGAGTTTCTTATATGGCTAGAACATAAGAGCTTGCTCAGACCAAAGAACTGTGCTTCCTAAAACAGGCTATATCTAGTTCAACTCAGCAGAGGAAACTGACTAAATCAGGAGCTTCTCTTCCGTCCAATACACTGTACTTGCTAAGAGCAGATGCGAGTGCTATTTGCTCTGTGTATGGCAAGAGGAGCATAAGAGTGTCTGTCTTTACGCCCAAAATACTCTTGCTGCTAGAACTTAAAACCGAATGTGATTGAACTACATTTAGGAAGGGGAATTGAACCCTAGATTGGCTTACAAGAAAAACACTCTGATTTTGAGAAAGGCACACTCTGGTACTCTAATGTGTTTCCTGTAGGGCCAGAAGAGTAAGCTGGCTCAGAACAAAGGAACTGTGCTTCCAACACACACGAGAAATATCCAGTTGAATTCAACATAGGAAACTGACTAAAATAGGAGCTCCTCTTCAGTCCTATACACTGTACTTGGTGGGAACAGACTCCAGGGCTATTTGCACTGTGTATGGCAAGAGGAACACAAGAGTGGTTGTCCTTACCCCAAACTTACTCTTGC